AGATTTGGCAGAGCAGTTTTAACAATGGCAAAACAGAGCACGCATCTTGGCCACGGTGTCTCTGCTAACCAGCTTGACGCCAGTAAAGACACAGCCGGGAACTTTGGTAATTCGACTGAGGCTAATGATATGACTAAGTGTTTCCGGTTTGCCAAGCTCAGGTGCGCACATTGTACTGATATGGATGTCCATCCGTTGCTGGCGATTATAGATTAACAAGAAATTGATCCAGCATGAAAACGCTCTGTTTCATGGCTTTACGGTGTACACTTCTTCGCTTGGCCCATTGAGCACGTGCTTTGTTGTTGTACTGTCTAGGATACCCGCATAGTTAGCATTCCTTAATTATGAGCAACTGATTTCATGACCGCATTGAGTCATTGCGGTGTGACTGGTTTGGTTTTTGGTCCAAATGGCTTCCCTAATCTCACAAGTGTCCTTTGCGTGCCACCCTCAAAAAGAAAGCATCTGACGTTCATTTCAGTACCGAGAACTAGTCAATGGACCACGCATAACCGCAGTGCGATTAGTTTTCCTCTCGTTAGGTTGTTATTCCTGCTTTTAGGGTTATCATACAGGTTTGTGGGACTACATTTCTTTCGGTTGAAATTGGAACAACAATGTGCAAGGAAGCTATACCAAACCAGGTAATGCACGACTGTGTGATTGACGGTAGTTTGCGGGCTGCCGGGCGAATACGGCTAATCGATACGTCTGCCTGTTTGAGATATGTTTGGTGTGTGTGTGTGTAATAAATGGAGCTGGTGAAACCAAAGTGAACAAGATCAATGCAACGCGGTCAAAGCCGAACTGCTCAGTTTACTGAATTCCAGGACGCTCAGCTAGATAGCGCATTCCGTCAGAGAATGTCTAGTGTCTTCCGCTCAACTAGCAGTCGCTAGAGTATCCCAGCAACCATGAACGTCTAATGTACCGTGCCATGCACAATGCATGCTTGACATCTAATGTCTCAGAATCTTTACATGGTAAACCACAAGTATCACTTTCTAGCAAGTTAGAAAGTCGCAGAATTTAGTGACTATATTCTGTCGGATGGGGACTGCGTGGTCTTCAGTGCGCCTGGTTGGAGACGTTGCAAGATGTGGCTCCTCATCGATGTCAGTGGCGATCTTGTTGTCAGTTTCTATCCGGATTGCCTGAATGCGTGTTTGGAGGTGGGTGCACCTCGGAGTGATTGTGGTAACCCAGCACTAAGTCCTTCCCCCGTCCATCTTTATTCTTTTCTGCACAATAAGGCTTTCAATTAAATCATGGTTGTACGACAGCTAAGCATCTGTGTTGAACACTGACGTCATACTGTCGATGATGATGATGATATCGGAAAATTTGTTCCTTTTACTTGGCAATTTTCTGCTAGTATCATTCGACGCGCTAAAAATCAGTATGTTCGCGCTATGTATGTATTGTGAACACATTTATACGTGGTGCCCTTGGCCTAAAACCCGTGAGAATGATGCATGGTTATAACACACCCACGAACGGAAGAAATCTACACTAACTACTCTCTACAACTGCAGATTTCTCAGATTTTGGGCGCAGTTTCGATGACCTTGCTTACCTGGGGATCCTAGATAATAACCTGCCTTACTTGCAGGAACTTCAAGGTGGAGACAAGAAACTAGTCGAAGCAGTAGTTAGAAGCAGTCGTGCGGTAGATGCTCGTTGAACATCCGATTGATTTTATTTCTAGTGGCATCACATCATACCCGTTCACGATCAAAGGTAATCAACTTAAAAAGTTTATCGAAATTCGGAGGTTTACGAATTTGAAGATTTGGGTTGCGGAAGCCCTGAAATGAATGTAATAGAAGTGGATCCAGGAATTCTAAAGAGCCAGTGGCAACGGAAAGAAACGGGTTACAGAAGGGTTGGTATTGGGACTACTCAAGCCACAGTTCCGTTTACCTTTATTTAAAGTAAGTTCCCAATGTCCGGATAAATCGAACATTCGGATCGATAGATAAAACTAGCGGAAACATTGTAGGACTAGTCACGTCTTGTGATGTCACTAGTAAGCATGGAATGAAACCGTATTTGTTAAGTAGGTGGTGGATACAACTGAGGACACATTTACCTAAAAGCAACTGATGAGAAACCAAAAAAAGTAAATAGCGCTGGTATAACATAGAATAAGGTGATTAGTCAAACAGTCTCATTCACTGAAACAAAAGCTAGACGTGAGCGGCGGTTTTGTCTTGTCCAGGAAGTCCATCACTCTATCTACCGATGGCAATAAAGTCAGCGGTAAGTTCTCCAGTGACTGAATAGGTGGGAACAGTTGACACTGACCGATATTGGCCACCGGTTAGTCTTCTCCGAGGGCACGTTGAATCTATGCAAACTACGCGTGTTATCCTCAGAGCCATCTGAATCGTTCAAGGAACTAAAAAGCCCTCGACAGTTCTTATGTACGACGAACCGAAGAGCTGTAGCAATCTCAAAGGGTTCCTTACTCACTTGGAGTTGGCAGTGAAATTGGATCGCTGGATGGACAACAGTTATGACCCCGTGCATGATAATTCACTTTCACTCCACAAATGCCAGTTTGGGAGTTCTTCATAGCTTTCACCAGTAACTGACCTGTTACAATGATAGGTATTTAGAATCCTTATTCGATCTTAGAAACTTACTGGTTCGAAAGACTTATTAACGCATTGGGTTGCATACTCCTACTCGCTCTCTCCACCGTATCGTTCAGCTGTAGCACCTTTTTGGTGTCCAACTGTATGCCACTCGAAGGAAGCATGAGGGCTGGTATACTGCCAGGTTGCCCAACCCTAGACAGGGGAAGTTGAGAAGCAGAGGCATGGATGGAGAGAAGTAGGGTTGGAACCACGGACCTTCCGGTCAGTAACTTCGCGCTCTAACCACTAAGGCATCTCGCTCCCAGAGCCATATCCACCACGTTGAAAAAATTCCAATCGTCCGGTGAGCAAACCAAGCACAGGTGTGCTTATTTGACGACTGACTAATGACGCAGGTTAGAGCTCAGTGCTATCTGTACGATATTAAGAAACCTCATATTCAGGCTTCTTACAACAGATTACCTCGGTTACGAATTAAGTTGGTGTTAAACGGACAAACAAATGAATATCAGCTGAATTCCCGCTTCAGCCGAATGTGCCTACGATAGGCTATCCTCTTGTTCGGTTGGAATGCTATTCGTTACATGATGTATTTCTTTCGCCAACCTTAAAAGCAGTGCTGCATCAAGACAGATGAACTGATTCCCCGGTTCCGCAGTGATTCAACTGATGTATCCACTTATCTCAAATAAACCCGTGGTAGAAGAAGTGGTCAAAACAAGATTTGGTGCATCTTGCCCCAGAGTTTGAACTGCGAAACTTGCATTACGCTCGTTGGATAAATGGACGTCTGGAAACTGGCCTTCAGCTTAGAACCAGCTGATGTCCCAACAAGTCAGTTAGGTAAATACTCCTTGAAGCGTGATATTCCTTAAGCGGTAAAAGTAGCTTATTCACGTCCAGTAGAAGTGACGTTATGGCCAAAAACAGATGGTCCCATTACTCTGTTGCGGAAAAGTCACAGAGTCAAGGTCTCAAGTGGTCGGGTAGAAGGACATTGATTTCTCCCATGGCCAGGCCTGCCACATTTGTAGCACCGGCTTGTTCGAGTGTGTCTCCGCGATTCCGTCTTCATAACTGCAAGCTGTTCAGCTAGTTGGTCCATTCTGATCTGCAGTTCCTCCACTGGTGAACCATCCCTCTTCTCCTGTGACTGCAACGTGGCCACTGGTGCCTCCGCCAATTCACCAGCTCCTCCATACTCAACTGGCTAGTTGCTCTCGCCAACCGCAACTGGGCACCAAGCACAGGCTGCACACCTTCGGCGAACTGGTCAGACAGTTACTGCTCGCGCGAAACTCCGTCCACTCCAGGCAAAGCCTGAACCAATGACTACTGCAGGCTGGTCGGGTTGCATACAGGTGCCATCCTTGCCGTTTTGAACCGCCTGGCAGCCTCCTAGAGGTCGGCCGGTGTGTTAAGCCCCACAGAGAAGACATTCTTCCTTTCAACAAAATCGCCTTCTCTCCGCTGGGCAACTGGGAATTGCAATTCGCCATTTCAATTCCACATTCGCTGGCGCTTCTCCATGGACCACTCAACTAGGTCATTATGATTCATTTTGCTGTTGATCACTTAACCGTTGTTCGGTGTCTAAATTCACATTTTGTTCAAGCAAATGCTCCACATTGTGGTTATCGAGTTCCTTACTCCATGTCAGATTAGGCAACAGAGTTCTCTCACTCAGACATTGTTTTATCTTTCGATCGATGTATGTTACACGCAAAAACCTCAGTTCGTCTCAGACTTATTACACTTTTCGCTAGCGTCTGGTGATCCTGATGCGGTGGCTCGTGGTATCTACGGCATACGGGTTGTGATCACGATTTACGAATAAAGCTACAATCCTGTGAAAAGTAGACAAAAGGAAACTCTTCTTTGAGTTCACGTCTTTGTATTGGCTATCCAGTTGTTCCAGTTACTCATCAAATCCTTTCTTCTTGTCTGTTCTCCAACTGCGAGGCAGGTGATATCACCACGTGCACAAAAGGCTGCTGTGCAAAGTCTACATTAAAGGGAACTCAACTGTAGTTTAGTCATGCCACTTGATCGTTGCTATGGTCCGGGTCACACCAGTATGATTTGACTGATTACACTCCTTTAAGTGGTGCAAATGTCACGCAGAAGTAGGCTGGTTCAAGTTTGGTTCTCAGGTTGCTTTACCCATCAAATCATACTCAGCGCTGGCGGGTTTCGTAAACTGATGAGCGACGAGTTCGCCAACAAACCACGAAAAATTCAAACCTACTGCATCAAGTTGACCATGTTCTGGAACTTCCATGGATATGATTTTCATGACACACATACAGTTCAACGATTAGAAAACGCCTATGCTCTGAAACCTGGGTGGTTTGGCAAGCAGATTTTGTCCGGAACAGTCTCAGAAACGACGAGTCAAGTGGTTAAAAACATTAGGGGACTGATGTCTGAGAATAAGTATTTTCTCACTTGATTCAGTAGCATAGCTGAATAAAGGCCATCTAAAGCGGTTAGTTGATCATGTGTTCCTGCTTCACGTATTCGGCCGTTTTCCAGCACCAAGATCAGGTCGGCATTGCGCACCGTTGTCAGCCTATGTGCGACCATTACAACAGTGCGTCCTGAACTGGCTTTGTCCAAAGCCGCTTGAACAATACGCTCGGAGTTTGTGTCCAATGCTGAGGTTGCCTCATCTAAGAGTAGAAGTCTTGGTTTTCGGATCAATGCTCTTGCAATGGCAATGCGTTGTTTCTGACCGCCGGACATGCCAGTGCCACGTTCACCAACCACTGTATTGTAACCCTGAAAATGAGGAATACAAGAGATGTTTCACGAAGTCAAAGATTTAAACTGGGATATCGGAGCATGGCGTTTTTGCACTTATGGCTACGCCTCAAACCCCTGACCGAATAAAACAACCGGAGTTCAAATTACTAAGACTCTTGATATTTTACCGGTCACCCGCAGCGTACTTGTGTGATATTGCAGCTGGTTCATCTTGATTCCTATCTAGAACAGGTAGTATTCTTAAGCACATCTGTGCCTCATTCGACTTATGGATTAAGTGCATACTAAGCGCAGGTGATTGCCACAGAGCTTACCCTCAATCTCTTGGAGAAACTAGCAGCGTTACTGTGACGCGTCTTCATGCCACTTCTTCAGTAGCAAACTGACAGACAGTATCCCAGTGTGTGGCGGTAGGCATATCATCACTGAAAGCCCTAAAACGTTAGAACTAGATCGGGCGCAATAGTAAAATAAATAAATCGTTCATAAGCAACAATCTTTCTGTGCTCAGCTTTCATCTCGCCCGGAAGAAGTACAAGTTTGAGATAATTCCAGGTAGATCAAGCAGACCAAGACAGAAGCAGTTGAGATGCCGACGTTGGGTCTGAACCATGGACCTTCCAGTCGGTAAGTTCCCGCCTTAATCAATGAGCTATCTAGAGCTGATAGATCGGGCATGGATAATCAGGAAAGAAGGGTTGCACTAAAAGTGGAGATAAGGAGTTGAAACTGAGTTCAATATATATTCTTGTACACGGTGTTCCTCAGTTGAACGTGCGGAACAAAAGTAGCTCCAGAGTTGCATTGGGGGGTGTTTAAAAATACCGGGGCAATGCTGACTCTCAGTGTTGAAGGCCTGAGAGTCCTTCGTAGCCTGTTTGCATCTTCAGCTCACATCTGGTTACCTTAAAGTAGCGACGTAAATAAACGCCATAAAACTGTTTTAGAGAAGCAAAAATGTTGAGGGGAGTCCAAAGACTAAGCCCACCCGGTCAACCTCGGAGGAACCGGTCGTCAGACGGTCGACATATACTAACATACTACTTACGACGGACCAGAGATCTGTCCAGATTTCATGGAGTTTATCACTGGAGTGCTGCACAGTAAACATGTCAAACAAAGTTTAACGAACTTGTACATAGACTAATGATTGCATAGGACTTGACAGGTAGATTCGTAGCAGCGCAGCTGAGTTTTTGAATGAAACTGGAAAAAGATTCACAGTCAACACAAAGCGTGCCTACCTCTGGAAGACTGAGTATAAAGTCGTGGGCATTTGCCAGTCTGGCGGCCTCTTCAATTTCCGCTTGATCGGCGTCCAGTTTACCCATTCGGATATTTTCCGCCACCGTACCCTCGAAGAGTACAGGTTCCTGTTGAACGAACCCTTGCTGAGAGCGAAATGCTTTCAGATCCAGATCACGGATATCGGTTCCTTCAACAACTATCTGTGGACATGAGAAAACACATGAGAATTTCTCTCTGATCAAACAAGGGAACACAATGATTAAAAAATGGACGATTCACAAAGGCAATCCTCCTATTTGTTCTCTCCTCTAGGTCACATTCACCGCTAGATAATGATTCCAGTCACAAAAATGAAGTCAGCTGTGACCAATGGAGTAACTTGGTCTACCGAGAAACCCAAGAACTTGAAGAATTCGAATATTCGTCGGTCTCGTGCTCAAGAACAGGAAATATGACCATAATAACCACGAGTTCACTATCACGTGACACATATTTCTTAATGATAGCGTTTTCGTTTCAAAGGTATGCATATATATTTATATATGTATTAATGTATACATGGGGAACGATTGCTTCAGCTATGTGCCGATAGCAGGCTGTTTTTATGCAGTACGAACTTCCGAAATAGTCGAAGTCGTTTGGCCACTTGGTGTCCTCCAACAGCAGGCCGGCCACAAACTCAAATCGACCACATTGCCATCAGTTACTGATGGCGCGGATCCATAACTGACTGCCGGTCGTTTTGAAACACATTTGTGGACTCTGACCACGCGCTCGTCCGGAGTCGCTTCAACCCACGTTTCCCGGGGTCACCCTAACATTGACCAGGATAAGAGGGTAGGGGTCGCCAAGCTCAAAGGTCACCTGGGCGTTGGTGAATCAGAACACAGAACAACAGAGCAACCAATGGAACCGTCCGACCGAACAACTAATCGTGATCGAAGGTCAGCCCCGGCCTGCAGCATGTACATTAACACATACGCAACACTACTCAACGCACAACCTCGAACCCATTGCCATGCACCACTATACTCCTTACGATGATGCCTCCTTGACTGGTGATGAAACGTTTGCAATCAATTCGTCCAGCTCAGAGACCAAACCGACGACCACCTACGCTACCTGAGCTACCAACATTTTTTAATCAAAATCTGCCTAAGTATAATTTTTGTTCGGACGAGTTCGGAGAAAAGCCCCATGGAGTTTTTATCTATCAACTGGGTGCCACATAAGGATTTTTCACGTCTGTATTTTTGTAATTAACTCTCTGGGACAGAATCCAAAGGTGGCTGTGCCGGCATATTCTGACAGGGAAAAAATTGATTGGGCATTAGTAGGGAGTAACACCTGTAACTGCGCAGAGTCCGACAACCTCAAAAATAAATCAGGATATAGTTTCATGTTGTCACAGGGAATTCATCAGTTTTCGTCAGCGAGAAATCCAATCTCGCTTGGCTTCCGCGCCCACCGAGAACACTACCAAGGTGCCGCGTTGATGAGGTCGTTAGGTGTTCAATAGATATCCGAAAGACCGGATGGCTGACACCGAAACACCCCAAAACGATAGCTTTTTGGAACAGACTGACATTCTAATAGTAGGCTACAAGCAGAAGTCACCTAATTCCCTTATGGGTTTGGGTAGCTCTGTTCGGTAGTCAAATTGGTTTACAGAGTGGTAATATATTAACGTGCTATTCGAATAGACTACATCGATTATGTGGCAATGAAACTATACTTCCACTGTGCCGAGTGGTGACAAAAAAGGCTGTGAACGCGGTTTGGGAGTGAGATGAATGAGTATCCTGTGAAAGATAAACAGAAAGCCAGTGCACAGATTTTCCAACGCATAACGGGGTTAGTGAACTACCGGACTGGTTCACAATACTACTGAACTCGCAGGAAACGAAAAAAATAGGTTGGTCTAGTACATTCCCTCTAGGTGGGATATGAGCTCATGTAAGAAGGAATGCACCTGTTTGATGAATGAATGCAGTTGACGCGTCCACCACTGTATTGTCAGCAGCATCATAATCGTCAACAGCATTACATCAGCACTAGACACTGGTGCTTACTGTCAACCAAGAGGACACAAAACCCTGACAAAGAGTTAGAGACGAAAAGGGTAGGAAATAAGTGGAAATGCCCTATGTAAGTAGGAAGATATATCAGGAACAATGCGACTATACTTTAGAACAGAAGCCAGATAAGTGCACCTGAGCACCATACCAATCCACCACCATCCACGGAATCGATCCAACGTCATTTGTTCTTTATCTAACAGGAACTTAGCGCTGGTTGGATATCCGGCTAGAAAATGACAGCAAGGATGCAACTGGACGCATCGTCCACCTGGTCGAAATCCTGATGGATGCTCTTGAATTGGCGTCCGATGTGCCGGCGTGAGGCGTCGCAGTATTGGGAAATGGCAGGCATGAGGCATACAACACCCTAGCTGGCTGTATCTACAGGTAACCTCTCTTCTGTGAAAGAACTACGATGACTAAATGGCCTTAGTTCTTTTTCCCAATAGGTCCAAACAGTTTCATTAGAACAGATAGAGGACAGGTTGAAGTATGTCAACATGTTTTTCACTCTCTTCAGTCGCAAACGCGAGATTTGTGAGTTAGACAAGGTAGATAGTAGAATGTTGAACATGAACTGATCAGTAGGTTCCTGCGGACGGCTTCCAACAAATCCACAGCCTTACGCAAACTGAATTCAGTCTACGCTTCAAATAACCCACATGAAAGTCTAACGAGTTCCAATCTGGTTAAACAGGTTCTCCGGGGCTGGTCTAAAGATGATCAAATTTTCAATGGTGATTTCGTACACCCGTTTCATTCTTATTGGGGATCACCGGCAGCTCACAAAGCTCAAGGCTGTTTCGATCCGCAACTTACCGGCTGGTAGTTGAGCAGCTAACCGTTGGGTCACGAGCGGCTGACCAGCACTGTGATTAAATAACCAAGTTAATCAAATTTCTCGCTCAAGTATCCAGGAGTCGTTTGCACGTAATGTGGTTGTACACCACGCTGCTGCCACCACTAAATTCCCCATCAGTTTACAATTGTGGGGGTACGCAGGTGTGAAACAGTTCTTTGTTCTATGGTGGTAAAAACAAATTTGGAAAATATGTTTCCCCGAAAGAAAAATGGTCAGAAGATTGGGTGAACAATGAGTCCGGTGCAAATTGTGCGCTTTGGATTGGGTTCTATTGGCGACACTCTGAATTGGATCGGATTAGACTTGGCCCAATTACACAGTTTTTCTTTCACTTGCACATGGAAAACAGTCTCATTAATGAAGCGCAGGGAATGAAACTTATCAATTTAAAAACCACAATCAACATTTACATCCCCAATGCAGATCTTTCAGGTTAGAAAATCGAACTTAAAGGGCTCTAAGTGTACCAAACGTTTTTAAATTCCGTACACAGCGTATAGTGTGACATCACGGTGGTTGATGACTCGGCGTATGCTTAAATCGTCCCCTCAAGTAACCTCACAAAAATAGTAAGCTGAAAGGTCTTCAAATTTTGTTCGAAGATGTCCGGCTTTTAAGGCGTTGCACACCATTAATCTTCCCGAACTTCTTCTCCAGCATGAAAAGGCAGTTGAAGGTCCGCACTTCATCAGGAAGTGTGTTATACCATCGCGTAGTTTCTGCACCGCTCAGACCGCGTTCGTCCTAAACCGAAGCACAATAAGCCTCTGAGTATCAGCCACGTGAAGTCACGTTAGGTAGATGTATACAGCCGACGAACTTGACTGCTTTGTTGTTGAGGAAACGTTCAAATAAAAAGGTGAACAAAATTGAACCAGAATTACATCCGGATAACGGCTCGACTTCCATACATCCTAGTCAAGAACACAACAAATGCATCCTGGTGCTCGCGCCTTGTGTCCACTGATTATCTGAGTAATAAATAGCTGACAATTTTAGGCAGGCATCGCATGCCTCATCCATCAACCAAAAACGGTTGAGGAGTGGCAACCTATCCAGGAATGTTTCACTGCAACTTTGTTTATTTCAATGGTGTTAGTGGTATCCATTGCCAAGAACCGGTAAAGCAACAAACGGAAGTGTTGACGAAATAAGAGTAAAGATTTTCACCACAAAGTTGGACGAGAATTACCGCAGTCGAAAACTTGCACCTTTTTTCTTATTTCTAGCTCATGCTGTGGGCCTGTCGTTCTCACTGTCATTTCGTATTACATTACAATGATTCCATCGTTACTTGATTAAAAATAATGAAAAACTCGTTGAATTTCGATTGAAACAGTACGGTTTTGGCATTTTGGGAGAGCCTAAAGCTGTCTTGCCGAAAAACTCGTATTATATGTCGTGAATTCCATAATTTGTCTGTTGAAATGGGTTGCAAACCACCGGATGGTCGCGTGGGAAACCTCAAACGATTAACTGACCTGTGCTGTCGCAATAACTTGAAGCTTGAGCTGAAATCCCTCTTGCTTGCTGCCCTTGGCCACCGGGACAGTTGGCTATCCAGCCGAGAAGCACTGTACAGCTGTTTCATCCTTATTGGGAATCATCAGCAGTGCCCATCTCACGAAACCCCGGAGAGTCTCGAACACGCGACATCCTGGCTAGTAGTCTGAACACTTGACCATTCGGCCACGAGCGGCTGATCAGCAGTGTAATTAACTCGCACTTAGACAGGATATGGCGCCTCTCATCCTTCAATCACGGGATCCACATCACGCGGTCACACGTGTTGACTGGCTCCTCGAGCAACGACTTCTCAGAGGAAGTTTCACTCATCGGGTGAAGTTTATCCTTCCACTGAGCTACTTATAGATTGTTGGTAGTGTGAGGGGATTTGAGATTTTTGTAGAGATTTTGTCCTGTAAGTGAAGCCAATCTATTCTGAGGTCTATCTATCTATGCTGTTGAGGTCCTCGTTCTTGTTCCATCTTTATGACGACAAATTTCATTATTGAACATGAACGTACAAAACAGGGAATCCGGCAAGGTGATGGGATGACGTGCACCTAACGGACAATCTACCCGTCGCTTACGGCCAAAAACTACAGTTTTGTTACTGCACTGAATAATATCAATCTAAATTTTACCTTTCGCTCTGTTTGTCCACAAAAAGGGGACTTGAAGAAACGTCACATTTGATGAGCAGCATGAATCTGGATGATGCAACCTTACGACTCAAATAATCCGGGTTAGGTTGCGCCCCAAAATACTCCTATCTTGTTCTGCTAGACAGAAAATTCCCCAACGATGAAATATACTTTTGAAGCAGACGTTTGTCCTGAAAGACTGTAATTCAGTAATTCACAGGTAGAGCGTCTTGGACTATTCAAAGAAACCGAAACCGCTGTCGGCATCCATAACCAGCCGCCCAGAGGGGACACAGTCTTAGTGATACAGTAGCAGGAACTTGTAAATTGCATCAATCCAACCTATAAAGGAGTTTACTTCTGTTTTTAGTTCCATAACTTGTTGACAATTTCCAGATGGATGTTTCAGTGTCAACAGTTTCCGCCTCGTGTGATCGTGTTGGTAAACGCATGCTGTTGATATGGTCAAGCATTTGCCGGACAGAATGCACGCCTATTCTCTTGCTAAAACCTGCTAAGAGATTGTACTGGTGTGCCAGTTGACTTAGCTGGTCACTCGCCTAGTCCAGGTGAGAGGGTGATCGAAGGGTAATTTTGAGCAGTTATCACCATATGAAATCTATCATGTGCCCATGTTGCCGTACTCATTCCGGTTAAACCACTTATTTCCCTTCGATTACTAAGGAGAAAATAAAGAGAACCCAGCGGCCCATTTGGACTGAAGTACTTTTCAATTTTTAATCTATTCTTTATCTCGTCTAAACACCGAGGTGTGCGTTTATTGCAACTGTCATTTGTTGTGAACAATGCGACATTCTCTCTTTTATAAGTTGGAAAACATCACATGAGTTATGAATACACAACTTGCTGTTATGGTACTCGATTATCACGTCCGTGTTCGATTGTGAAGATCTCACATTGGGACATTGTAGAAAGGAGTTGAACAAGCTTCGTGCTCCCGGTTTGTATGGACAGGGATAGGTGTTGAACGTAAATCGGCATGCTGTAGTTGAATAACTTGGCGAAATGTTTTACAATAGGCTTGGTAAGCATCATATGCTCAGCAAAACCACTAAGTGACATGGGACTTTGCAAGGAAGTTTGTGCGATGCCCACTAACCACCACGTGGGTGTGATGTCAAGTCAAAATGTGTCAGCTCAATGTAACCAAATGTTTGCATATTAGTAATGCATGATCAACCATTTCTGTGGTGAAAATAAACTCAAGGTTGTTTTCAGTGCTCGCTAATAATGTTGCTCAGTGACGGAACCGCAGTCAAGCCACGCACAGCTTTGACACAAGACCAGTTCTGAGACGAGATTTAGTGAAAAAATGATTTGTTTAAAGACGAGAACACGCAAGCAAAATAAACCAATTCGCGTTAACGATCGACGTAACCGAATCATGTGAATACAGTATGCCCAAATTGCCTCATGGTTCAGCTGGCCCGATCTTTCAGATACCGCAGTATACATTTTTGACATAGCATAATACGGAAACTCGAGGGCTACGCCAATCAGAGCAGTCCCAAGCGGAGCGAAACCTTTATTGGGCTGCCAAACCACTTCTAGAAGCATAGAATGAGTTGAAATTGTCCTATTAGACCTTTGGTAGCCAAACGGCAACCAAGGATGCTCTTCAGTATATCCTCCTTGGTCGTCAGATTAAAGGGTGGTTCTCCGCGGAGTTCGCGAACAGCAATTAACCAATTCGTCATCGATTTTACTGGGGAAACACAACAAAACGTTAACCCATGTTCTCCAAGTCCGATAAGCAGCCATATCATCCTGAGATGCCTCTGTCATGGTACAAAGCTGCAGGTTTGTAACACTTGTACTACCATTTCTTTCAGATTGGTAGGACGCGATTCAATGTCGTGATTCAGCAAATGGAGCCACTACTTAGCATTTCAACCATCAGATTTGCAGTCTAAAAGGATCAACCCTGTACAAAAACACAAATAAGTTTTCCGGACAAACGCGAAGGCGACACATTAATCACGAAGAGGCCCATGGGAATTGATCAAAACAACAAACATTTTAAACTCAAAGGTAGCGACAGACCGTAAGACCCTATGGCATCCATGGTGAAGTCTACGGAGTCGCATTCGAACAGACTGAAGGAAAACACTATCGGAATTGAGTACAGGATTTAGTATTCCACCCAGAATATAAAAACATTTTTCCTGAGTGACTTGATATACGAGTGAATCATTTCGATTTTCAAACAGCTCGGTATTTACATTCGACTGAACTCGTTTGGTTATTCTTTTGAAGTCATCAAAAAACACTTCGAAGTTTCTTGAAAGTTTGAGACCAGAAACCAATGCATTCCTGTGAACGGAGCGTGCAACAACGATTTTGCTTATATTTACCAAACTGTGGGAATTATTCATCCTATAAAGTCTACTTAAGATTAATTAAGTAGTCTCATCGCGTCTTATGCCATAGTAAACGTGGTGCATGTTTCAGTTTCCATGACATCGATAAAAAACCCGGACGTGACGCAAATTCAAAACTCAAAAGAAGAGGGGAACTTCAACACGTCAGGAATCTCACCAGTTTTCGTACCAAATACTTAGTGACCATAGCAGACTACTGTCCATTTGTTAATGTTCGTCATGAATCTACAAGCTATCCAGCGAGATCTCAAGGCTAGTAATTTCTAGCACGATGTTTACTCACCCGTCCCTCTATTGGCTCGTAAAAACGTTGCAGCATATGTACAACCGTGCTCTTCCCAGAGCCACTTGGACCAACAAGGGCCACCGTTTGACCTTTCCGAAGATTCATATTGAACTCCTGTAGGACCTGAAGAGCATATAGAGAACACATGGTTAGAAGGACGAATAAGAATACTTTTGATCGGTGCTCAAAAATCTAAAATTATGGATTGCTGATGCAATTATGGGACACGAATTCGGAGTAAACAAAAACCGCCAGAGGTTAACGACGTTGCAAGCGATGAGACCATGGTCATTCATCCACACAAAATTTTTTATTACAACTGGAATGTCAGTAGCGTTAAGCATGGATGAAATTTTAAAACACTTGGTCTAGCCCATCCGAACAGTCAGAAGCTGAGATAATGTCATATCCAGTTGACTTTATCAGCCACTGACGTATGACATTAACCAATTATGAGTAACAGTAGCATCGAGTTAGAGTCACTGCATTACAAACGGGTTTGAGGGACCTTTGTTTTGAATTTAATTCTATGACATTCGGACAATGACTCAATTTATGTGTATGTTTGAATGGGATTACTCTGTTTTTAACAGTATTGTCTCATGTCTAGAAGTTTCAGATTCCATTTGTGAATTCGATCCGCTGTACTTGTAGCGTGCTCCTATGTCCGCTTGAAGAAATACACTAATCGGAACGACTTGGTCATTGTTCAGACATATCAGGTAGGCATAGTCCTCGAGTTATCAGCAATCTCATTTCACACCTGAACAACAAGTTGTCCTTAGTTAGCGAAACACGGTCACTTGCAAAGTAAGTTGGCATTAACAGGAGACTAAGCTAAATCTGCGCAATAGCACATCCATTTAAAGGATATCATCAACGAGCGTTTGAGCGGGTACTCAGTTGTGTCCCCGGTTAACACCTACTTAATTTTCAGGTGACTGTATTTCACCAGTGTTCCGATGCCCTTTGGGAAAACGATTGACCGGTTCTGTCAACAAGGATGCAACTGCATCCTGCGCTGTTACCATGGCCGTCACCTAGAAGATTTAATGTATTCAACTGATGAAAATTATATGAAAGGTTTGCATCTGGTTTCTTACTACAGGTGATTGAAATGCATTCAAGAAATAAGGCGTCATACAACCGTTCCCAGTGGACTACAGGCTCGATATTCCTTGTAGTTGGATCTCCATAGTTACGGAAGAAATAAGCAAATTTGAAGAACACAAAAGCATGTAGTAATGTTGAACCGGTGAACTGAACGCAATTAATCACATTCAACCTCAAATAAATTATTAGATATCAGAGCGTTAACCTTAGATGTAGGATTTATTGCTTATGTGAATACGCGTTCGTTAATTGGCAGGGGGTATTCCTACATGGACTGGAGGTAATGCGAATAATAACTTTCTTCCAAGGCTCCAGACTTTTGGCAATAAAATGAAAACGGGTTGTCTGAACGCAAAGAAGCGTTCATCATAGGGCACCTACTCATTTCGGTTAATGAAACTTGGCCGATCCAGTCAAACGTTGGAGTAGACGGTTGAAATTGATCTTATGGGTATCGGTGGCAGAGAATGTTTTTTCGGAGTGCTCAGTCAGCGCAGACTCAACGGCCATTGATCCCTGGCGATCTTGAACATTGAATTTTCATGTTCTAACTTTTATTATAGTGACTAAATGACTCATGGTTCCTGCCATACTGGACAGTTTTTTGACTGACTAACTTGGAAGTATATACGGTTATAATCCTTGAATGAAGCCTTTTTAGTTGGCGCTTCTGAGCAATGTGCACAACACTCGATATGCGTAACAAGCGTCCTGGTGATAAATGCAAGGATAGATCGCACCACCCACTTTGTGGCGGAACACGATTAGTCTTTGTGCAGTGAAAATTATGCCCTAAAGTGCAGGTAAGTGAACACCTATGTAACATAGAATTCGTAGCTAAACCATTCTATGTGTACGAAAACCAGCTTGCCTTATGCAGCGTACAAGACTAAAAACTGTGTATTCCCAACGAACAAGTGAGCAGCTGATGATAAGGTAACCTCATTCTATCACTAATCAGGGTGTGATATACTAGAATTTTTGAAAGTATTTTGCTCGTTTTTATTCACCACCTTCATAAGCGAGCGCTGCCATGAACCATAACCTAATCGACTGGACAAGCCATAATAATTGAAGATGATAAGCAATCATTATCATAGAGAAAATCGCAGCCATGTGTAATTGAATCTTAATCATTGGGCGCTAAAGAACTTGCACATGCCAGCAAATTTAAACCTAGTTTCCGTAACCAATCTCTAGCGGTTTATCTCGGCTGCAGACGTTATTAAGCATTATTAAGAATTTGGGAAGCACCGAGACGATTGCCGGATATGTGGGCTCAAATGCTGTTTCCAAAGTTTAAATACTTGTGTGGCGACCCAAAGCCTTAGAGCTACATGTCTCTTTATGGTGTGAACACAAATTGGGTTTATCTCGGCGAATATACAAAAGCCGATACAATGACCCATGACTTCACTGTACTGTCGGATCGCTAACTCTGGTATGGTGACAAATTGGATGAAACGTGGAAAACGCCCAGATAGTTTTCATTTTATTTTCAAACTGCTGTTTTGGGAATTAACTATTCATGTTCATGTGTATAAATAAATCCGTATGTGCTTCCCAGATTTGCTTGTGCAAGCAGATAATGGATTCGTTTTGAGACAATACGGAATATTCAGTGACTAAGGACCACAGGAGACTAAGGTCAAGCTGTTGGAATGTTGTCTGAGTTTTGTCAAGAATGTCCAAACCTCACTTCAGCTAATACGGAGGTATCCACTGCTAGGTGATGAACGGCTTAAATTATCGATCGTCTTCTGATCAGAAACCACTCTAGTAGAATTTGTATCCAGGGAAGCAAGCAGGCAGAATACACGTTAGTAGATTTAAGAGAGCAGTGACACTTCACAAAATACTGTCAGGTGCTCTTGGGAGCATTGAACGGGATGATGGGCATTGGTCAGAACCAGTGCGATTAACACTCAACCAGTACTTCTCCTTAATGACATGGAAATAATCAACATCTGCATGGACAAATATCAACAACTTCCACGTTTCATTTATCGCCCCAATTCACGTTTTCAACTTTTCAAGGAGAATCTGAGAAACTGGCAACAGGAAGGTCGAATGCTAGTCAGCCATGTTAGGTGATTGTCAGCTGGGGGCAAGGAAAAACATCCCGAGGCATGCTGGACCCTGCATTCAAGTGAATATCATGTGGCAGTATACACGTAGTTCTTGTCAGAAAATTGAGACAATGCTTTCTAATCGGCTAACGAGGACGTGCTCTCTTTTGGTCAAGAAAACCATGGATATTCGAGTGTATTAAACTTGGATAGATGCTAAGAAAGATAACTCATGCTGAATCACGTTATCCTTACTATAGTATCAGGACGCGTTGGATAGACAAATTTGACATCTTGAAAATCAATATTTCCATGAAAATCCTTGGAAAGAGTTCCAACGAAGTTTTTATCAATCGAAGGGATCTGCGGATTTCAAAAACAGAGAACGAGGAAAAAGAACTTTAGTGACGGGCAAATCATCATATTAGCTGTAATCAAATGAAAATGTTTCGAACATTTAGGCTTTATCATCGTGGCCTAATAATACAGCATTCTTATAAATGTTATTATATTTCGAAGATACCTATAGACCACAAATACGTGGAGCCCACAGTAGACATACAAACAAGGGTACTCAAATAGAAGTGAGCGGAGAAGTGCCCTGGGCAGGGGAAGTTTGCGTAATTCAGATATTTCCAAGCACGGATAGACACCCAAGCCTGAACTTACTACGCGCTCCATCGCTAAGAAGCGTAGACTGATTTGTGCTGCTCAACTTCCACCTAATATTTGATCGCTGGAGGTGCGTTCGAATATTTGCGGCCTGGATGGTTCACAAAGTGACAGGTGATCTGCTCGCTGCGATGTTGACTAGCAAACATCGGAGAGACATCATCCACGACAACATAAATCTGTGTGTTATGTCAGAATCTCGAACTAAAAACGAAAAAAGAGTTATTTTCTTAAAGATCATCTATTCGTTCTTGTGGTACCGATTTACTACATCCAACTTAGAACTACTCCCCATTTAACAGCTTTGTGTCACGATGTTTTCTCGGGGGCGGTTGTATAGCTGTTCATGCTAACCACAACCGAGAAAAACGTCACCTACCTTCTACCATAATAAAAAATAACTTGCCATTTTGAGTCTGTAACGCAGTTAACTGTAGCGTCTAAATGATGCCCGTCACAAAACTATTCATACAGTCACTAATTTTAAGCTTTTTGAAGCTCAAAAACATCATAAACGAGAGGTTCAGCTGGATTCCAGGTGAGTCTACCGCAAAACCAAATAGGTTTGCACATGAGTGTCCTTCGCTAATTTCGTGCAATTCGGGTTCAAGTGGGACGTACGCTTGATCGAAATACGGGGATTATGTCTACCTGATGAGCCGCAAGAGGGGCGAAACCGGTAGTCGGTTGTCAAAGAGCTTTCAGCAATCTTATGAGTAAGAGTTCAGCCTATTAACAAAATAACAAGAGGGGCTTCTCTCTGGAACATCAAGGTCCAGAGTGAATCATCTGATAAAATAATAGGCCTTGTTTTTACTATAGTCACTTTGTTGTTTTAGCTGAGCACCGTTGGCCATCAAAATGACATCCCTTAGTGATTCCTTATGAGAACCTGAGTTACATGAAGCTTTGGACCGAAGACCTCTTGGGAAGCCTAACAAATTGTAAGTGGTGGGGCTGGGCCAGTAACAGGTGATGGATGGTCAGCTAAACGTTCCCTGTGGTGCAGTCAGCACTTGTTTTCGCTCGCTAACGGTGGTGTGTAATGAGGACACGGCATCACGGAAGTGTCACCGAAACGAGTGTTGGCGTGAAACTGATTCACATGCAGAAGTTGTGACAAGAATCAACAAGGAATGGGATGGATGTGACCTCATGAGTTCGAGCAACACAGTGTTCAGGCCGTGACTCGGTCCTCGTTTTATGAGTTCAAGCCCGCTAGGGTGCTAGAGTGCAATTTTGCATACCGTATGAAGGTGATGGGACTGAACTTTATACCGCGAGTGGTAGTCCAGAGGCGGCTTAATGTATATAGATAGGTGCGTGGCAAACAGGTTGGGTATTCACTACTTGTCTTCATTAACATGAACCGGTTTCATCGCTGCGGAGGTGTGGAATCAAGTCCAATAGGTGATTACGTAATAAACCACTGTGATAAAGGGTCACGAAAGGCTGGGAGGCTGGTCGCGCTCCGGCGTGCAAAATCTCCATAAGGACACTATATGGCCACAACGGGGTTTCAATGCTTAATGTACATGGACCAGCTATAGATTAATACTCTGGCACCCTAGCCAGGGTGACCACTGCAGTGAATCGAGTCCAACCAAACGCTGGAATTTAAACACAGTGACGTCATACTACCGCCAATCATCACCTGTCTCCCAATCTACCAGTTGATACTTTTGCATAGTCTATTTTAGAGTCTCCATCTGCAAAAAGCGAACCCACGCTAGACACTCGCGACCCACATACACACAAAGCCTACACGTTCACGGATCCGAAGCTTAGCTATCACATCTGACTCTAGTTCATATGAGGATCGATTTTTTTTCTAACGGGGGGGATAAAGGGCTGTAGAAACAAAAATATTCGCACGCCTGACCGTCGCAGTCACGCGATACAAGATTGCTGAATGTTTGCTTTCTATCATTCTGATTGCGTTATCTTCGTCGTCTTCTGTCCACTAAACATTGTTCACGACGACCTGGCCATGAATTCTGCTTTTTCCACTGGATCAGTCTGTAAAATACCGCTTCATTCAACGGTTTGTGCATACTGATAGCAATCATAACACAGGGGAACTGGTCATCAGCTACAATTTAATTGCAGTCAACATGTAGGGTTTTAGTCGGTGTTGACAAAGCTACAGGCCACGTTGAATCGTATCTAATGGCTAGCTGTGCACAGGCATGTGAAAGGCACGTTAAAAGGTACTTGAACGATTGAGGTTGAACGATGACTTGAATTCCTAACAGTTTTCTCTGAGCACCTAGGAAATGCCGCAAAGGTTGTCTTTTTTCATGCCGGCGCATGGGGTCTTCTTCATTCCTGGTGTTTCTGATGCGATATTTGGCACCAGTGGCTCAACCACTTCAACCACATTTACACAGAACACGTGCTTGCAATTCAGCCTCTCACAACTTAAGGGGGCGCTGTTGCTGCGCGCAGGACCAGTCGATATGGTTAGATCTACTCCCATGCCATTGGTTGGTTGCATTGGATTGGGTGGAGGAAACAACATTCAGTGTCCATAGGGTTCACGCCTGGCTGGTACGCGTCTGGTTTATCATAGGTTCCTTGACGTTCGCAGGTTAAACTTGCGAGAACCCCCCACAGGCGGACTGAAAACAAATAGCTTCATTTGAAAAAAAGCAATAAGTTCTAGTGCCGGCGTTCGCCCGTAATCTAGCGACTTGGATTCAAGGTGGCCTGAATATTGTTTGGCGGATCAGCTGCTTAGTATCTAGTTAAATAGGTGGTTAACAAACCGATACGGCTATTGAGGGTACTCCTACTCACGTATTAATCAGTGCAATGCGTGTGGTGTGAGACTGCAGACAGTGAATTTCGACTGGTCGCTGGGTCCCGCTACCGAACATGAGATTGCGGTGCAAGCTTATTCGCTTGCTTTCTCTGGTCCTCATCTGATGAAGTGTTGTAGAACGCAGTTGTGTCACAAGGCGTCTTTAGGGCAGATGATCAGATTCGTATGTTCATCCAATAATACTACCAGCCCTGCTGTCACTCTAGGTAGGCGAACCGTCAGTAACTATCAGCGACCGTTTGTTTCTTGTATGAAAAATTATTCAGTCGATGTCACCCTATGACATAGTGACGAATCAAAAATGTCAGAAGAATCTATAGGTCACGCAACACGAGTTCTCAACACACCGGTTTCAAGCTGAAGCAGCTGACAAAAATGAACAATACAACATCATAGCGTTTGGTACGTTTAAAAAATAATTTTCTTTCTCATTCAGTTGCTTTCGGAAATCGGAACAGATGCACCTAACCTGTCCATGCCCAACTTGTCCACCAAAAAACAGGTTTGTTACTCATTTCAAATCACCTAAAATTGAACCGTAGATATCAACCTCTGTCCTAATCATTCATTAACCTCCTGCATTGTCGAAAACAAACTCTGTATCATGATCTGTTCTCGACAGACTAGAGGCCATGGGAATTTCCGACCGACAGATATCTAAGTAGTCAAGTAATGAAAAGTAGACATCGAAACTAAAATGCATCCTCTTTTCACTCAAATGCTGACTGTCCGAGAGATGTCACACTCGCCGTAGGAGTTCAGGTCGGTGCAGCTGCACAATGGTAAGTCTAGTAAAAGTGCGAAAAACAACCAAAGAAAGAGGGAAACACATTGAAAGGGTCTTTGGCCCATCTCCGGAAAAGACTCATTTTGGGTGGGCTCTGCACTAGGTCGCGGCTGACGCGGGAGATTCTTGTGGCTCCTGCGGGAGGATGGCTTCCACTCGAGGAATCCCCTGTTAGCAGGATTGCAATTTCCTGTATGCTTTCGAGCATTTACACGATTACTCATCGCTCCTCATGTTAACGTTGACACCTAGTTTTCACTGAGCACTTGTCACAAGATTCTGTTGCCGCGGCATCTTCAGTACGGGGTCATTAAGTTGCGAGTTCGTTTGTTAGGACTAGTAAGTACTTGGCGGTTGGACTAGTTAGTGCCTTTTTCCTACGGAAGCCCTGCTTAGTTCTGTTCGAACACAAAACACATTGTTGAGGTAAAATCGGGTTACTGTTCTGATTACAGTCACTAAAACGTTGCTGTTTGTCTTCGAACACTTACACGTTCTATAGTATCATACACGTCTCTCGCAGCTGCCGTTGCCATTAGGAAGTAATGAAGTGCCGGAAGAGCGTTTCCCAGGTAAATGCTTCCCAGAATGACGTTGAAAAATACCTGAGGTAGCGAAAAATTGGGTAAAATAAGTTGCAAGTAAATCAAGTAAAGAACGAACGGCGTTTGCCCCAAAAGAGCCACCTGTTAAGTTGGGAAGCCAAAATATTTGTCATGGATGCATAACTTCAAGCCAAGCATTGAAATTCTTGTAAAAAGAGCTTTACTCCAGTTATAAAATGGATCTCAATTGGTCTTCAGGTAACCAGATATGCACCCGAATCACTCACGTAAATTCGGTCCTGAATTGTCTATGCAACTTGATCTAACCGCTGAATAATGTACACTTTCTATAGGTATTGAGGTTACAACGTAACTACAAGTGACGAGAGTACAAGAGTAAACTCAAAAAAGAGAACTATTCTGATGCTAGGAAAAACGTCGTTTTTATTCCTCAAAATAACCAGTCGTCGCCCCTCACTTTATGCGATATTGAGCTGATACTGTCGTTTTGTCAACAATGTTCCATTTTGCAAGTCACACCATACCCCTAAGTTTATTCCAATTTGTTTTCAACTGCTGCATTGTTGAGTAGAGAAAATTGCGTATAGTTTGCGACCTTGGTTGGATTCGCTGCAGATAAATGTGGTGCTCAACACTGTAATTCCAAAGGGGAAGAAGCAAGCACCATGTTGTCAATCCTGTGAAAAACGTCCGATCCCAAATAACTCAAGCCTTAGTATTTTGGTGAAACTCAGAGCTGCCATTAGAAGTTCGACCAATACGCTTTGCTGCATACCAACTTGGTTTTCACATGAGACTCACCTGGAATAAGTTGAATCACTTGTTAAGGTTATTCTTCTTCAATCAAATGCGCCGCACTTGATGAGTCCCAAGAAGGACGAAAACGGTCGTGGGCTGTCTAAGAATTTTCAGCCTGAAGTGTATTACTCCCATAGCATTACATTCATCATACGAAAATCCCGCAAACCAAATGTTATTTAAGGACTCAGTCAAGGTGACACCGTGAATTTCCTGTGGGCACTGAGCCGGAGTAATTGAGTTTGTTTTTATGTTTGAAAATTTCAGCCATGCTCGATACACGCGTCAGGAGTTCACTCAGTGAGGGTTGACATACTGGGCTTTGAATCGTTCATCTGTGTAGTGCCTGAGCAACCACTAGCAAGTAGGTTGGTGGAGACATTGCTGAGCTATTCAAGCCTAGATAGAAGCAGTAAAAATCCACCCATTTGCCCTTGTCGTGCGCATCCATTCTGAGGTAGCCCGGGTACCTTTTCAAAATCTCCAGAGGGACTCAGTACAGTATTCGAACTAGCAAGTGGGAAGTAGTCAACTAACAGCGTGAACGCACTAAAAGAAGCGGGCATTCTTATTTTGTTGCTACTCAGGCGGCGCTCAACTTTGATGCTTGTTCTGGTTACCCTGTGGAGTAAACGTACTTAGGCTGGACTCGTCTTTTTGGGGTTGCCATTCAGCTGTTTCATTCACCGCTTCAATGCCTAACTGTCATGCCACCCAAAGGAAACACCGGGGCTGGGATACTTCCAGGTCGCCCGAGCCTATACAGCGGAAGTCGATAGGCAAAGGTCGGTTTCGAAGCACAGACCTTCCAGTCAATAAATTCGCGCTCTAACCACTTGCTCCATGTTGCCCCAGTCCTGTGATTTCTCCGTGGAATGTTACCATGAATTTACAAGATACGTTTAGTAATAATTACTAAGAAGCACTTATTTATAGCTTTAGATGGTGTCCAAACCTGGCTGTTAGCTGGACCATTAAGCATAGACCGGTAGCGCAGTATTGTCTGACCTTTACGGTTTCAAACGGTGGTTGGTGCATTCTTTCACTTTAAACCCCGAAGTGGTTTGCTGAATACTCAATCTGTTGTTCAGTGTCTCTTGATGCATCAGTCCAGTTAAGATTTCTCCACAGACGCGCCGGATGTTCGTAGATTTTCTTTCTCATACCAATAAACATGCAAAAATATAAGGGCGGATCTATAAATCCAATAACCGCGGGATTTGAGTAATGGATCGAACGGAAGATGGAGAAGCTCCATAAGGTCCTTTGTGACGAAGAGCTCTCCACTTTTCTGCTAGTTCTTATAATAATTATCAGTTTAAAGACAGGGATACGAGGATTTTGTCTCCGAAATCAGGACAAGTTTGGCCGATTTGTCCTGAATAGGAAACTGTTCGTGGCGAGACGACTTATTCATGAGTCACACATTCTTTTGTTGCACGATTGTATCTTCCCTAATGAACTTACCATTACGATTATTATTACTATTACTATTACACGTCAGCAGAATGGACTAGTAAGGACTCAGATACCCAAGAAGGGCGAAACCGGTCGTGGCTGTCAAGGAATTTTCAGCCACCTCATGAGTAGTGTGTTACGACCGGGAAACCCGTTAACCTAATTTCGCCCTATCGTGAGTTGGCTAAACGAATGATATGTATTTTTAATTCCCACCGTAGTATTTGTTGCTCATTGCTGTTTGGAAGATCCTTGTAAAATTTTACTCTAAGTGGAACACTAAAATATCATGTATTCATGTGACGTACATTCGCGACTACTTCTGCCCTATTCATCCCTAAAAACTTCATCTGATGGAGTACTATTTCCGGGGCATCCGATGTGAGCTGACTGATAGTGCTGATGCGAAGAGTGTTTGGGTTAAAACAGTTTCCAACATTTTATGGCCAAACTTGAGGAATCGGAAGAGACTGATTTATGACGAGTGATCTCATTGGAGTTATTTGGGTCGTTGTTCAGGCAAGATAAAGAGCGAGGGAACGACTGAACATCTGATTTTCAATTTCAACACTGCACTAAAGCATTTTCGACCTGTGAATATGAACATCGTACCAGAGTACCGCTTCTCGATATCTATATATGACTATACCATGGATCGTTTTGTGTGTAGGCAACCGGATGGGACTGCACGATATCTGATACGCATAAGTTCCAGACAAGCATAACATAAACGTGCTTTTGTCCATACAGCTAGAGTGATTTTCGCGAGGAACGGCAAGTTTCCACAGAAACACTTACTGTGATCAAATGACTGCCCTTACAGCTTCATCAATAAATACATCAGTTCCAGTGATTAGCAGTGTGTGCAAATCGCGGCACCAGAGTACTACCTTCACACTGAAGTTCCTCACAATAGTGATCATGTTTTCAGACTATTTAGACAAATACAACAGGTGTCCCTTTGATACGGCAAAGCCGTACGAGAAGGCCGCTGCAGCTAGGTCAAATACCAGCGTTAGTTTCATATGCTCCCGTGCAAATTCGTGGTCCATTGTCGGATTGGATGAAAGGCTTGAAACTCAAGCAATACAGCATATGTCCGAAACACTCCGTACGGTGTCAGCAGACTATAACTCAATCTTGAGCGAATCCATGGAGAAGTTATTGCTAGCAATGCACCTACTTTTCAAGGAGAGAGAGGTCAACATCACTAAAAGTTTCGGGTTTTGACACGAAACAATCAGCTACATAGACTAAGGCTACCGTCTGAATGCGATAGCTTGGAATTCCAGTGTTTTAACCCTTCCTATATATGAACCACTACTGCTCAGCTCTCGGATCACTTAATTTGTTTCAATTGCTTGTCACTAAGACGTACTCCAAAAAGAAGTCAACATTAAGCAAAGACGCAGGCTAACTCATGGTCTTATTATGATCTCAGTGCACGTCCTATTATATACGCACACTTTTCTTCTCTTAGTTACAAATGAACTGAAGTCACGTTTTAGCACCAGCAATAGCAGGTTTGTTCAACTCTTGCGATGGGTCTGTGTAGGTAGAACCAAAACATATACTTATAATGCAGAGAATTCCCTTTCCGATTCCACAAATTCTGAATACCTTAGGAATCTCCCTAGTGTAGCTAAACCAGCATTGTACCATTTTGATGGAGCATTATAAGAAGAACCACCATCGACCTTTTGTTTTTGTGCACTGTGAAGAAGAGCATAAACTCACCGCAACAACCGTTCCGCCCGTGTATTCCGCTGTTAACATCAGCTCCACTCCATACCAAAAAACGACCGCAGCTGAGGTGAACAAGGTCAGACCAATCAAGCCCATCACTGAAAGCACAGAGCAGAAAAGTTTGTTTTTCGCATAATGTAAGTTCGGATGACCGTTTAGCAGATACGGAACTTCCCTGCAGAGTACCGAAAAATCGAGCAACACAAAACCAGAAGCAGTTGGATTGTGTGAGCATTTTGGAAGAGTCTACACTGGATCAACAATGATATATACATATAGCGCTCACTTTCAGTGCATTTTTGGAGTTATTTACTTTGAAGTGAAGATCATTACATTACTTGAAAGGTAACAGTTGGGGTTTTTGGAGAGAATTCTCCAGTAGTTCCAACTGTACGGTCACGGAAAAACATTGCTCAGCCATTTCCACGAACATGTCACGTGCTCTCCACAGAACAACTGTTAGTGGGGTTACATCAACTTTTCGGCGACTCACTACGTGAATTCCTTCCTCAATTACCGTTGATTGGACCGCTGCAAGAAGGTTGCTCCGAATAGATGGACACAGTTGCAGTTCGATGTGTATGGATCTAATAAAATCGACCAGAATGTTTAACCTTTGACTTTAGATGAAGTAAGTTATGAACACTGGCGTTGGTACAGATTTGTCCTGGCTGTTCACAGACAGGCACTTCAAGATTCACTGAGTAGGAATTGGTAGGGAAATCTGACTGGACTATTGAAGTGATCACTCAACAAGGCATTCACCTTAGAAATAAATGCTGTAAAGATAGTTGACCGTACATTGAAAAAATGTGCACATAGTGCGAAGTGAGTGTCAAAGAAATTAATCAGTAATTTGTTCTCGAGATAGAAACTATGATGGACACCTTTTTATCCTCTGTTTGCCGCTATAAAAAGTGTGTTTAGAACGGGATTAGTTATATGGTAGACAGGTGTCGAGTTTGTGATTAGGTATCAGGGATCCAGTCAGCATCAGTTATTAATTAATGTATGTGAGTATTAATTCCCTGTGACAAAGCATCCAGCATTGAATTAGTACATATCGGTGTTCGCGTCAGACAATGGGGCCAGTGTGTTTGAATTTCTTACACCGATTCATCATTCTTGCAACTGTAGTGAACTGCATTGATTAATTTTGTTAAGCTTCTGAGACACACAGGACTCTAGAAAACCAAAATCCATTAGTCTGACACAACGTTCGGCCGAAACTAGAAAAATGTACAAGTCGAAACTTTTGAAGCCCGTTTGTCTGCTTGTTTAAATGGTGCTGAGGGGGCTTCCAAAAGCGGAAATTTGTTGAGCACTGGGAACATCAAAAGATTGGCCGAAACGGGTGGATGGGCTAATACTGTCCTAGTCTGATTCCAGATGAATCCATGCAACTGGTTGCTTCGAAAACCTTGACGCGTGCTCTGAAAGATGAATCAATACAACAGTTGGTCCGCAATGGTCAAGCAACACTAGACCAAGAGGTTTAGACGTGATTACGCACCACTCTTGAAATCGTCCGGCTCCGGTCGAATGCGTGATGTGATAAAACAACGTGTCAAGCATCCGCTTATTAAATCTTCCGTGTAGACGGTTCAGCGGTCACCGATCACTGCGCCATGATAAACGAGCAGAGTTTAAGTTAACCGGATTTTCTTGACGCACGAAGCACTTGGTTTTGCAGTGGCGATCGAGTGCTCACAAGCCTCCTCCTAAACTTATCTCCTTAGCACACAGCACAAAGTACACACCCGTGAATGTAGCAGGCTGTCAAAACCAGTCTGAACTATTCTGTTCATAACTTGCATCCCTCCAATGCGTCTATCGCACCAAGACAATCTACCAGTTTTCTGGAATTCATGGTTATTCTTGCTAAAATGCCTGACTTTCGTTTGATCAGTCTGTCCTGCCTGGGCATTATGACAGAAGGGTTGAAATTTGTCATAGTGCCAGACAAGGACTTATTGCGCGCCCTAATATTTATACACAGGTTCAATCTGCGCGTAATTAGAGACTCACAAGCTGAACTGCAATCAAAGACCGTAGAAATGCGGAAAGTGTTACTTGGAGTGCGAGGTACAGACAAGAGTAAGCATGCAATCAGATCCAATTCATGAAGTCGGAGGGCTGTCAACTAGCGGAAAAATTACGTTCAGTTAGAAAAAAAAATTTCAGACTCTTAATATTTACAATCCATAAACTAGCACAGCTTGTGAATGGATACGAGATACACTTTATTCAAGTTGAATTTCTTTCCTTGTTATCGCTAGATAGATCTGAAGAACAAACGAGGCCAAGTCTGTCTAACACGAAGCGACTGGCGAATGAACATCATTTCTGCCATTCAAGGGACATTGTGGGATCGTTCATTCTTCATTTGGTGTTCTGTCAAGGAAGCTTGGTAGAATATAGTTGCACAAGCGTCGATCTAATTAATTTAGTGAATTACTGACTCGTACGGGTTAGCGATGATGCTCCAGTTTTACAATATTTTCAGTGCGTTGAAAGGGCACTGTCCATCTACCAAATTCACAAACATATCTATCACGTAAGTGGTATGCAGCGTTCACATGTACACTAAGCTACAACATGGATATTTCTATGATTCTCTACGTGCTGTTACGCAACGAGTGACTGATTGGATAAGAACAAAATTGAAAATTAAATTAGTTAACATAGGTACAATAAAGGATTCATAAAGGATTCGAAAATGAAAGTTCGGTTTTTGAAACACCAGTGAAGAATGGAGTTTGGTTCAGAAATTGGATGACGGAGCTGCGAGAATTCTCATCTCTAGAGAAAAAAGTGGTTCGAGGTTGAGAACAAAACCACAGAGACAAGAAACAGAAGCTTTCACGCCTTGGTCCCAAAGAGTTGATGAGTTGGCGAATGTATACGCTAACTTCTACTCAACAAGCGACCCGATACCACCAGCAGGGAGAACGATGAATACAACAATTTTGTGTCTTCGAGATAGCTCAGTAGCTAAGGTGCGCACATACTGAACGGAAGGTCTCTGGCTGGAAATACACCGCTGGAAATACACTACTCCTATCTAGTCTCCGGCAACTTGACGGCATCTCAGCTATCGTGCTTCCATCGGCAAGTATGGCAGCTGTTGTTTTCGCTACCTAGTGCTTTAGCTACGATGGGTCCAGCTGGTGTTTCCCACAAATAAATCTGATAAGCATAGTTATTTCTCCATTTACTGCAGCTGATATTAAGTTTGTTCTAGTCTGCCACTTGTAATCAACCAACATTCAAAGCACGTTTGCGCACAGTGTCAAACCATGTTATCCATGAAACCCAACAACGATTGAAAAATAATCCTATCTTAATTATTCACTGCTTAGAGAACTACCAACACAAACTAATTTCATAAAGCCCCGATCTCAGGAATACTGTGCTTTTTTGTGCTCGATGCATAGGAACAAACTACGAGGACTATCATTTTCCTGTTAAGCTGGATAGATGGAGATCACCGCAGCCCAGTGACGTGTTTGTTTTTGGATGACCCTAAAAGTAATCCAAAACTACAACGCGCAAACACACATAGAATGTCACAATTTACGTGTATTCCGACGAGCTTTTTAGCGTACAGGTCAAGTAGTATCTTTGTTTCATTTGCTACAGTGCAAACACTGACTGGCTGCGGTGTATGCACATTTCTGTGACTAAGGGAACTTCAGCCTGGTGATTAAGATAGCGGACTTCTGTGTCGATAGCCAGGGTTCGAATTCTAGCGACGGCGCTGTCAAACGGCCGCTGGCCCCTCCGAAGATTGCATAAACAGGTCGTTTCACCAATAGGCCCATGTACTTAATCTGCAGAATCCCACATTAGAACACTTTACATTTCATCACACAAATATTTTTAGTAGTTGCATTCACCTACTGGAAGCGTTTCCACTCCTTTTTGGTGACCGTTTTACTGCGCAGTAAGCGATTCGGTTAAAAAAGAAGCTACAATGAGTCTCGCCGTAACAAACTACTCATAAGGTTGTTGAAGACTCTTAGACAAGTCACGACCGGTTCCGCCCTTATTGGGGATAATCGGGTAGGTGCAGCCTCCGAGTTTCCATCAACCTTATGTTCTACTTGATTCCAAATTGTACGGAGTTCGACAAACACGCGCATTTCCACAATGGGCTTCGTTGATGGTCCATCATACGTATCCACAATCCTGGTACATTTGACCGCGTGTTTTCGGTGCCAATTTTCCAACTTCACCTTATTTGAAGACAGGATGAGTCAATTTCAACAATTTCCAACTAATTCTAATTTCTAAATTTCTAAATTCTAATTCTAATTTCTAATTTTCCCGAATTTCCGCAGGTGACAACAGGATCTGTAGAAATCGCGACTCATGGCTGCTTTTGGCGAAAAATTTCGTAAACCGCTTAGTTGTGAGCTCCATGTGGACTCCGACCATATAGGCCTCTTTTGATATGCACGGAATATGAAGTATCATCAATGATGACCAGGTTCCATTTGTACGCAAGGGTTCTGATAAACGGTGTCGGAAGGGAAGATTCTAGTTTCTAGTTTGATTGAGTCAAATATGGCGCAGGCGTCGTCCAGATACGCTGTAGAATGCTGCTGATACCCTGATCTACATGGATTGTCCTTGTGGATTGAGTAGTAGGCCGATTAAACTTCCTGAGGGTCGATGAGCACCATTCTGGAGGGCACAAACGGCTTCCCTAATAGAAATGTGGCTTGCATTTAGGTTTGGTCCGAGACTAAACAAGCATCGGATACGGTTCAGAAAACCTTCCTTCCAAACCACAAAATAACTTTGAAATAGTTATGACCAACACATTTGATGATTTGGGTATTCTGCTAAGAATACTGACTCATACACGGTCGCCAGAGTTTCCCTATTAGGGCCATTAGGCCTTTGGCACTTGCTTCCTCGTTTGATTGTAGACTGATAGCTTTGCTTCTATCTATATGGCGTGGTGGATAAAGTGTAGAAGCTTTTGCCAGCAGCGATTTGGCTGAACTGTTCCGTTTCGTGAACCTGGTCTTCCCCGTGAAGAACACGTGGAGGCGAGGAAACTTAATCAGAAAATCCCCCAGTTGTCGTAGCATGCGTTGTGGAAATATGTTCAACCCAAAACTGATTGTCACTTCCGATGCCTTGAGATGAGCCTAGTTTGGTGTGTTTCGTTTAACGTTACAGGCGAATTGAGGTCACGAATAAACTGCAGACTTCTCACTTCTAGTTGTTTCCCTTCTGTCGCAATGCTGCCTAAGAGAGACAATGCGCTTCTCGCTGTGGTGCTGAAATAATTCACCAGGAAGAAAGACTCGCAATACTAGAAGGTGAACCACAAAAATAGTTCACTTTAAAGAGTTTCTTAGGGATTTTCATACGCATGAACGAATATTTTATTCACAATGTAAAGGAATGTCTTGTATGCTAGCTGTTTCTCAGATAGAGGGGTTTTATGAAGAAAGAATACCGGGGTTGTTACTGGACCGTGTCGTACCATCTTCTAACAGTGAGACAGTTGTCCGACACAAAAAATTCCTGACAATTTTGATTATGCAACCGGTGTGTAGCTTCCACGTGTACACTAAACTTTATCAACGATCTTTGAATGTTTTATGGTGTCTGCGTTTTAACCGCTGTTATGTAACCGAAGAAAGTAGTTGAACTTCGAATGAATGGATAAGACACGAAATAGCTACATTAACTTCACAAAATATCTAGAATGGTCGGTAGCGGGCAGTAGGGTTTCAGATGATACTCAGCATAACCGGAATTAAACATCTAAAGTTTGGCCACTCATGGAAAAGACGAAAATATCTTTGAATGCGGAAATTCTACATGGACCACACCTTTTACCGAAGCTTTTTTCATTTACGTTCATCAGAACATAGTTCTATTTTCACCTGTCTCCAAGCTCGTGGTACAGAAGGAACTGCCGTAACCGTGTGAAATGTTCGAAAACGCTAAGATGACTTTGGTAAATCTGAGTAGAACCAATCAACTCGTGAATGTTGTTAGCTAGTATGAACGTAGAATGCAAAACGCTGTTGATCCACACATTCAGCTATTTCCAGGAATATCAGCTGATGCATCCGATCATTGAACTTTGACCACACCGCGTATCATTCGGACCAAGACAAAATTTTGCGTGCCACGAGGGTAAAATCGTCATTTGGGCCCGGGTACCAGCTTTGCGAAGCGAGTTATGCGGAGCTGTAAAAATTCCAAATCCGTGTGTTGGGCATTTTGTCCGACTTTGATACTGATGCGACAGCAACATGAAGGAGGGAAGGATTGGATCTTCTTAAATTTCGAGAAGAAATAGGTGTAGGTGAAGTAGGATCAGCAGAAGGATCCTCTGCTAGATATACTTGTTGCCATCCTCTTCTATTTTTCTGGAAGAACAGGTCATAAGGATGATATCTCGATACATAGTTGCTGTAGTGACACACTCGACAGCCATAATGCCTCGTAAATAGTACTCACACTGTGGCGAGGCATCGATGCACGCAAAACAGGATCCTCGTAGTACTAGGTGTGCTGATTAGTTATTTCGGATTACTGAGGACTCCCAAAGTGAAAATCGTCTTGGGAACCAGCTGCCAATATGTTAGAATATGGTCTTCAATTGATCCAGATTGAAGATTAAGGCCTTACTGCTGTGGTCGCAGAGCTTGGTCAAACAAGGGGCTCGATTTACTTTGGGAAAATTTCAGCTTATTGGTACGGAGACTGAAAGCAACAATGTTCGACGCCATTCGCACTTCTGTGACAGGCTGTGGAGCACCCATAGCTGAACGATCTCTGTTAATTCAAAGTCACCGACTGTTGTAAGACGTAGTGCTGACGAAAACTAATGAACATTGGCAGTTGGATAGTCGAATCCAGAGTTTCTCCGTAGTGAAGAGCTGTGATACTTAGCTGGAAAGCAGTTCCCCCGATTCGCGTTGATACTGGCTGCTGATAGCGTTGTCGGCTCGTAGTGCACTGGTCTTACTTTACTTCCTGTGTTGCTGCATAACCACGAAATAACTCAAAACCTGTCTTCTGAACATGTTTGCATTCTGCTCTGTTGGTTCGGGCGAAGTAATACATTTTTCCCTTGTGGATAGGCTGAGATTGGACGGAAATTAAGTGCCCAACTGCGTCAGGTAACGTATATGAAGAACTAGGATGTCCGAAGTTGAGCAAAGGCAGATAACACTGAAAAACTTGGTGGTCATGTTAACGTGTGGCGCGCTGAAGTAGACCCCTCCCTGGGAACGAAAAATTATATGCAAAGGAGCTTTTCTACATTCACAAGAGCCTACTTTGAAAGTATTCCGCGGTGCCCCGACTGGGGGAAAGCGCTGTTGTGGCCATCCATCGCAAAGACCTTACTTCGGAGGGCTGTTGAATATTAATCTATAGCTGCAGAAAAGAAACATCCCAATAGTTCTACCGACACGTCCGGCCAACACCTTCAGAAAATATAGTGCACGCAATGCTATCACGGCCATTAATCAGTTTTAAATATCCTCAATCCTTTGCAGCTTAGGATTCTTAAATTTAAGTCCAGAGGGTTGAGAGTGCGAGAGTCAGGTAAGGAATGCACGAAGGATAAAAGGTTCCGCCAATGTTGGAATAAGCATCTGTTGAAGAGAAGGCTTCTCTCTGATCTTTCAGAAGAACACACGAGGTTGAAAAAGGCTCGACGTTTAAACGATCAGAGCTATTCAGAGAATCAAGTCGTTTGGCGTCTTCTGAAGTGGAAGCACTAATGAAAAAAGACAGTCAGCGATTGACAGTAAAGTCCGGATGTACGGGCGCACTAGTGGCATGACCTCAGATACCTACAAAGGGTTTTAGTCTTCGAGGCCGTCACAACACCCTGTGATTGTGTCGGTGGGAATTTTGACAAGGAAAAAATCTGTGCTTAAAAACCAGGTAAGAGGCAGACGGCAGCTTCATAAAAAAGGATACTTAATAAATATCGCCTTCAGGTTAGCTTCGGAGTCCAGAAGAAGATACAGCTTTTCAAAATGGAGACCTCGTGATATTTTCTGCCCCATAGTGTACATCCACTAAATTATCTAGATGTTCTGAGAAGTCACGTCTATAGGTGCCTGAGGGCAGTTATTTATCCCAGATGATCGTCATGGTAGAATGACAAAGACAGTGAATCTTCTTGCCACCTTTGGCGACTATTACAACAGAATAACATGCTTCAGCAATCAACGATAAAGAACGTTTTGGCTCGTTCTCAGGTCAGTTCTTCGTGTACTTTGTTCTAGTGGCCAAAGGGTTTCGCGATCCCACAGCATACTTCGCAACACTCCTGTGGGTTTGAACGTGGATTCGCAGACTTGCCCCAAACATGCGCCAAGAATAAGCAGTGCAGCGGTGATACATACGAAAACAGGTGGTGCTACCACAGGTGCCCGCCTGTGGTATTCGTTGGCTGCAGTTCACTGACTATTTGATCAATACGACTGTCACGCCTCCCCGAGGTTGCACGAGGGCTGGGATACTGCCAGGTTGCCCAAGCCTAGACAGAGGAAATCGAGAGGCGGAGGTCGGGTTCGAACCACGAACCTTCCGGTCAGTAAATTCGCGCTCCAACCACATGGGCCATCTCGCCCCCAATACTGACTGGTTGAGCATTATCCACCCCAAGGTGTGTGCTTGTGGGGTCGAGAGACAAACTACAAGCTTAATGTAATCCTTCATGACAAACCCATCTAAAATCAAAACCTACCTTTGAAGAGACAGGGGATCCCTTAATTCACCACGATTTAACTTACAGTCCGTCTAGAAGGGAGCAACCACAGAAAGACCAAGAAAATGTTTCCATGGTATTTCTTCCTGCAAGAATGCCCTGTGTAACTCAACCTAGAGATACTGCCATTGTGCATCCCATGGTTTCTTTCAATTTTAACTAAAAGGTACTAGTTTTAATGAGAAATCCTAAAATGAAACAGGTGTCCCATGGATTGCATAATTTGTCTACAGTTGTATTGTTGAAGCTAGAAATATGACACAGGTTTCGGTCAAAAACATGACTCAACTGGCATTTGGTCGAGTATACTCAAAATGTAGTGACTATTCACCTTCAAGTTTATCCATCCAGCTAAATCCAATTTGAAAGACAAAGACAACAATAGCTTTGAACCGATATTCACCATGAGTGAACTCAAACAGTAACTCTAACCTGTATGCACTTCTTATTCAGCCAAGACCAGACTACACATCAGATGTGAAGAATGGTACAACAGTCTAACAAAATAAAAAGAATTAAAAGTGCGCAAACAAGCATTTTACTGGATGTGTTTGATGCAAGAGATCACACTTTAGCGGTCAGAATAACTCCAATGCTATTCAATTCGTTTAGTCTACTCGTTTTGACAACTCTTTTTTAAGACTGCAACTGTATGAATGAAAACCAACGACGGTTGAACAAAGCTCAGATACATAACTGAACCGCACTTGAAATAAGTGTGACCACAGTAGAAAAGGTAAATGTAATTGGCTCCGTTTTGAAGGTTATATCTGAAAGAAAATTTACAATTCTTCGTCTCCAGTACCAGATATAACTATGCACGCTAGGATTCTGAACTGCTTACCTCCTCCAACCGCCATCGATTTTTTAACTCCTTGCTTTTGAGCGGTCGTTAACTCTGCGGAGTAGCGGTTGTATTCTTTTTCTTCGCCCCCAAATGCGACCACGGTGCGGATGGCTGATAACACCTCATTGGCAATCCCCCCGGCCCGACTGTAAGCTTCCACTTCTTTCAGTGTTAGTATTTTCATTAGAAACCCGAACAGGGCAAACGCGATTGCAACCAGCGGAAGCATCGCAAATGCGACCAAAGAAAGCTTCCAACCAACAGCAAATGCAATAATGAGACCGGTTAAAAATCCACTGATATTTTGAACAAAATCGCCAAATTTCGTCCCGATGCCGTTTTGAATGATGTCAACATTTTCTGACAGCTTGTGAACTAGGCCACCGGAAGTTTGTTTTTCGAACCAAGGAACGTCTTGACGTAAAATTGCCTACAAATGAATGGGAAGGTAGCGAAACGAGTTATCATTCGGACAAAGTGAGCACGGTAAACTTTACATATCCCTCATAGGTAACCGCTCATGAGAACTCCAAGTTGACTGGATACCTGACTGCTATTTCATTTAGAGTAGCACACGATTCTGTCCAGTTTGGTGCCAACGAAAAACAATTTAATCAATAGTGTTTTATGATCCCAACAAACAAACAAACAAAGAAAAAGAACGTGTTTTTTGTGACGGATCCTCTTAACCAGTTCATCACAAGTCTAAAATGATGCTATTAAGAAGACACGTGAAGCGTCTATCTTAGGAATGAAAAATGTGTGTTTTTAAAGCAAATTCAAATTGCTGGAATGCTGGGTCCCTAGGTGACTGAAAATTTCCACCATTAAAAAGAAGGTAAATAGCTTCTTTTGAAACATAGAAAGAAAAGGTCTCAACTTGATAGGACTACTTAACCGGTTCGTCATTCTCCCGAAACTCAACTAGTATTTGCCTCTGCTTCGCTTCATGAATGATCTTTTGAACAAACTGGCATTGATGTCTCAAATTCAGGCCATCATGATAACCGCTTTCATTTCTGTTCTTCATACGTTTTCTGATTCCAGAATTATTAGGTTGTGAGTGCCGTCATCATAATCCAGTCTCAAGTTAGTCTCTAAAAGCGACAAACACGACTATTTCAGGTGCTCCGTTGTCCATAATGATTTATTGGGTTGGCCTACAATTCTGATCATACTGGGTAGGTAAAACTGAGGCTTACCAAGAATGTTGGCTGGTTGAATTTGGGTATCCGTCAAAGCAGTCAAGGCAGCCATAGTGCTCATTATGGCCCCGTATAACATTATGAAATTGGATATACCCTTCAAAGCCCAGTTCTGTAGACTGATGTTAATAGACTGACTGATCATGCAGCCATATTCAGTAAAAAAACGATACGATTCTGCTGGATAGTGAGTCTGATACATGGCAGCTTCTAAGATGTTCTTCCTCCATCCTACGTAGGCATTCAAGGCAAAAATTACTAGCGTGCACCCTTAGCGCATTCACACCCTCAATAAGGCGGTCGAGTTTCCGCCTGATGGCTACTTCATACAGAGCCCAGGAACGATGTTCGGGTACGGATGACGAACAACGAATAAAAGACGATATAACAAGAGTTGCAATCTATTTCCAGCCTGTGGGTACCGGTGTAACGGTGATGCTACTGATGGGGAGGTATGCGAGTAGTATGTGCTGTTCTTGTAAATTCGCTTTGAGTCTCTTAAAAAGGAATTTGTGGAGTCACCTTGTAGCATTTGCTTGGATTTGAGCAATGGATGATTGGAGTCAATGAATACCCAGGAAAGTTCAAGAAGACGCGTTCGGGAGAAGTTGGATGCAAATAAGATTCAAATGAGAGTTCTGCTTCCCTGTCCAATAGTCTGTAACTGCTCCGTTGAAATTTTCTGATAAATAACTCCACAGCGAAGGCCTTTTTCCTTTCACCGGTAAGTAGAAGTGACCTTATAACAAAACCGGCGATATACTATGTTTGTGGAAACTACCGGAGGGGACGCGGGTAGGTGGATCAGCGGGTCACGGAATCAACTAAAGCACATTAATGTCAAAAACACGTTCATTCGTCGACCAACGAGACCATATAAATTTCCTATAAAGTAAGATTATTCAGTCACGAAGCGGGATTCCGACCGTCTCTGATATGAATAACGTCTAATTTCGTACTAGCCAGGATCAGTTTAGAAGTATGCGATGCCTGATTTAAAGGTGTCAACCTCAGGAAAAGATCGATTTTGTTCAGAAGTGCTAGAGCTTTTCCGTGAAACGTGGAGAACTAAGACCACAGATCCTTGCAGTTTTTCAGGTCGCCTGATTTTAACTTTAAAACAAACCCTTTTCTAGCATGGTTCAGGCCATGCACTCCGAGCACTGTTTCCTAGATGTGAAACCATTTTACACTACTCGACAAGGGAGACGGCCAGACGACTCTGACTGGGTTATGGATCGACTGGGTGAGGGTTACGATTGCAAGGCTTATGGGGGAGTGTGCCGACGATTGGATTTAATACAAGCACCAGCCAAACCTAGGCAACCTTTGGGTAATGGATGCAGCATTTGCAATGAAACGACCATATGCTCGCAATGACTGCAAACTAACTCACTTCCGTACATTGTCAGGGACGGTTTCTCATTACTCAACAAACTTTCTAACTATGCTGACACACAAACAGACGCTATAAATCACATAGAAGGTAAAAAACTAACGAAATTCCGATGGAAGATGAAAATTACTGAAAGTAAAGCAGTTAGTTTTTCAGATTTCGGATTCACCATCTCTATGTATAGGTAAGATTGTCATGTGGGCTAGTCGGGTGTACACTAACTTCCGCCAAATTGCTGAATAATGTTCACCTTGTTCGTGCTCTATATACAGGTTCCAATCAATAAACGAACGACGTTTGGGTTCCAAGAGTTCCAGAGCAAGGCACATTAGGACAAGTTCAATAGCCTTGCAACCGGGACTATGTCCCGAATCTGTAACGTCAACGCTGGTGAATAGTTGCTTTGTTATTCACATAAGCCAAAACTACTTGCGATATTTATCACAACAATGGCAAAAATGAATGTCCATATATTTATGACTAAACACTACTCATAGGATGGCTGACAACTGGCAACCCTTCAGCAACCTTATGAGTAGTGTTCAGTCAATAAAAAACACTAAGATTTCTCAAGTATTGTACTGAAGCGGCCTTTGTGTAGCATTCTTAGTTGAAGAATATCCGGAAAGAGACATTCTGCACGGATTCAGTTAAGTATCCCATTAAAGCCACATTAGTGCGCAGATGGGTACATTTAAACTTTTTTTCGTATACTTATGTCGCGTTAACTGGGCGACTGCAGTAGCGTTTCGGCACATTTCTCCTGGATTTCGTCTAAACTTGCTGAAATTATGAGTTCCATTTTCTAATTTAGCGAGTTGGTGCAACTCTTATCCGCTACAGTAAAGGAAGCAAATCCCTGATGGTCAGACACCACCTAAGACTAACGACATTATTCTCTAAAACCCGCGGAAAGCAGCCACACTATTTAACCTTGAAATCACACAAATAGCATTCACATATTTTTGCCGGTGGTTGTTTAAAAAGAAACAATAGAAATACACCAAAAGGCGGCATCGAAATAAGGTCGCTGCATGTGAAAAATTTTTGCAAAAAACACCTGGTTGGCAAGAGATTGCAGGTTCCAGTAGGAATGCACCAACACATTGGGTTGATTTCAAGAGATCTTTAGAACCTCAAATCGGAATGGAGTCGTTTTGAAAAAAAGCTGGATATCAATCTAGGGGTTTCAGTAGGGGGACAAACACATACACACACAGAAGGTGAACAACAAGAATATTCTGTTTGAACCGCTGGACTAAATCAACTCCAAATCAACTCCAATCCTGTTTCAGAACAAACTATATTGCCCGGAATGAAACTACTTGTAACCATCGGAATTCGTACAAACTAAAATATACGCTTGCCACTCAGCTGGAGCTGAAATATGAGTAAACTTCCAAGTTAACTGATGCTATACACTTGTACACTTTGCTAGATAAATCACGACAATCAAATAGGAAAGCGGCCTTTTCTGGGTTACGGAGTTGCAGCAGACGGGTAGTGCCTTCTGTGGGGTATTCATGGAATAAACTCTCCTCAGAGGTCTCTTTTGAAGCACTACAACACTGGCCACATTGGGATGTCATAGCAATACCAATAACAGTTTTTAATGTCTCTAAATGCCCACTTGTCATTCAATCTACAGTATGATAGACGACCTTGAATGGTTGTCTGGTTGATATCTATTAACTTCGTTTCGGAAACCCGCTCCTGCTTGTCGGAGTTCTGGTTGTTTGCTTCCGTAGCGCCACGCATTTTTTACCATATACTTTGCCAACACTGATAGTTAATACATCACATCAGGTCAAAGTATGGTAACGCTACAGCTGTTACTGACGGCATCAGTCTAGAATAAATGTGGAGAGTTGCTTTCTCCAATTATGAAACTCCAGATCAGTCAGTTCATTTCTAAGCACTACGTACTGCATTTACTTGCATTGTTCTTGTTCTCCGAAGAAAGCACTCTCAAAATGCGTCTAAAATGAATACTGTGAAGTCCGTTTAACATAGTTTAGCTGGAGATACCACAATGTAAATCTGGTAATCGATCAGGTGGCTGTTGGTCTGTTTACCGGTAACGGATTTGCAGATCTTCGACAGCACACAACCGGTTTACCTCCCTCCTTGGGGCTCATCAGGTAGGCCCAGTTCCCAAGTTTCCATCAACCTTATGTTCTACTTCAAACCAAATTGCACTAAATCAGGGAAATACTCTCATTTGCCTGGAAACATCACAAATGAGAGATCCAGCTGGGTGCATGATGAGTCTCTCGCAAAACCAAATTGGTTTTCAAATAAGTGTATTTCGCTACTGAGTTTGTCTTATTCAGTAGGTTTGCAGATATGATTGGATACCCAGCACACACGTGGTATTGATAGTAAATACAAAACCACGCTTTGGGTTTCGGTCTTTGAAAAGATTCATACTCTTATTCACTAGAATGCTCGGAGAAAACAATGAGTGCCTTGTTGGGTTGTGTAAATCGCACTTCAGTGATACGTTGCATCTACTTAGATATGGTAGATACACTAAAATACCTAAAACTGCTTCAAGGGAGGCAAAAAATTCAGGCCTGTTGTTTGCTCATGACGCATTGTGCTCAAAAATCTCGTAATGCAGCCGAAAAGAACAGAAGCTTACACCTGTCCTTTCCACCGTAAATGACAGTCCAAACTGGTAAATCGGAACTCATATATCAGTTCTATATCTTCAATAAAGGAGCTATGCGAATCTATGGAAAAAATCTGGAAAGGTTGTACCGTAGTTTATTGTACAAAAAACGTGGGAAGTACTTATTTTTTAGAGGCATATTCCTTAGGTGAACT